CTATGGACGTGTTAACATTTGATGGGCATTTTCAGGCGATGTCTATAGACTAACAGAATGATATCTGTGTATTATATCAAAATATGGAGAGGGGGTGGGGTTGTCAATGAGATTCTGTTAAATCATGTAGAACTACAGCATAAAGTAAATTGTATGAAGTATGAAGTTAGGGTTAGGGTTATGTACTGGGTTCGGCTGGGGTAGTTTTCTTCACAGTGGCTAGTTTGGGGCTGTGTTTTGGATTTGCACTTAAAAGAATAATGATAACACAAAACACCTTCTGTTACTGCTGAGCAGGGTTTCCACACAGCCAAGGCCTTTGTTGCTCTTCACCCACACCACCAGGAAGGAGGTACACAAAGAGTTGGGAGAAGATAGGACACTGACAGGACAGCTGGCCTCTGTGGACTCAAAGGATATCCCACACCTTTGTGGCATCATGCTCATATATAAATCTGGGTGAAGAAGGAGGAATCAGTGGGGAGGGTATTTCTTTTCTGAAGTCACTGTTATGCATAATGGAACCCTGCTTTCTTGGAGATGGCTGAACACCTGCCTGCCTGTGGTGAAGCAATTCTTTGTTTTGTTTTGCCTTTTTTTTGTTTTGCTTGTATGTGTCTTTTGCTTTACCTATTAAGCTGTTATTATATCAGCCCATAAGGATTTTTACTTTTTCTCTTCTGATTTTCTCCCTGATCCTGCTGGAGGGGGAGTGAGAAAGCAGCTGCATAGTACATAGCTACCTGCTGGGCTTAAACCACACCTATGAAGTTTTAAAGCCAGTTGTCTCATTTTTTAATACACTGATTTAGCTCTCTCTGAAAAAGCTGTCTATGAAGCTGCTCACTGACAGTGTTATATATTTCACCTCTCCTTTTTTTTCAAACTCTGTTCAGCATCTGCTCATGTGCTTGCTCACAGAAGTCAAGAATAACATAGAAACCCCCTCAACCTGCTTCTGGGATTTAATAAGAAAGGCTTTGTGTTAATATATAGCATCCACCATCTTCTTCTCACCCAAGAAGATGCAGTTCAGAACAGAATGCCTGTGTTTCCTGTCATATTCAAAATTATACAGCAAATAATGATGTTTAGGCAGCATTAACCATTCAGGTGACATCACCAGAGATGGCTAAAGGAATATATGCATAATGCTGATGAAATCTCCCTCAGATCTTTTTTTTTCTTTTTAATCCTTTTTAATAAAGCACAGCTTATATATCAGAGCAAGACTGGTTTATTAGTCCTGAAGTGGTTTGTTTGTTTAGGTTTCAGGGGGTTTGTTTGGAAAACTGTGATCAGCATGCTTTTGATTAGCATAGCTAAGAGGACTTTTGTTTAATGAAATGATTAGTTGATTCACCCAGGTATGCAGCCACACTAACAGCTGCTTTAATGGAGACAAAAGATTCTCCTTCAAATACTACCTTATCTCATTAACATGAAACAGTACCCATGGATACATGTTAATTATAAGGTTGATAAGAATATGTAAGGACAGCTTAACCTGGTTAAGTTGAAAGTTGTGGAACAGATTTTCTTGAGTGTATCCCCATGGCACATACAGGACAGGCAAGGGATCAGGCCCAGACAGCATAGGTTTAGGAAAGGGAAGTCTTACTTGACCAACCTGATCTCCTTTTATGACCAGGTGACTCACCTGGTGGATGCAGGAAAGGCTGTGGATGTGTCTATTTTAACTTCAGCAAGGCCTTTGACACCGTCTCCCACAGCACACTCCTGGCAAAGCTGGCAGCCCACAGCTTGGACAGGAGCACTCAGTGCTGGGTTAGGAACTGGGTGGATGGTCTGGCCCAGGGAGTGGTGGTGAATGTTGCTGCATCCAGCTGGGGGCTGGGCACCAGTGGTGTCCCTCAGGGGTCTGCGCTGGGACCGGTCCTCTTTAACATCTTCACTGATGATCTGGGATCAAATGCATCCTCAGTCACTTTGCAGATGACAATCTGTGACACAGATGCTCATGTGCTGGAGGGCAGGAAGGCTCTGCAGAGGGACCTGGACAGCCTGGATCCGTGGGCCAAGGCCAGCTGTGTGTGAGGTTAAACAAGGCCAGGTGCCAGGTCTGCACTTGGGACACAACAACCTTGAGCAGAGCTGCAGCCTGGGGAAGGAGGGGCTGGAAATCAGCCCAGAGGTAAAGGAGCTGGGAGTGCTGGTTGACAGTGTCTGAACATGAGCCAGCCATGTGTCCATGGTACAGGCCAAGAAGGCCAATGGCATCCTGGCCTGTACCAGAATTAATGTGGCTAGCAGGAACAGGGCAGTGACCATGCCTCTGTACTTAGTGAACCACATCTCAAGTCCTGTGTCCAGTTCTGGGCTCCTCACTGCAAGAAATACACTGAAGTGCTGAAGAGTGTCCAGAGAAGGGCAATACAGCTGGTGGAGAGTGTATTAAGTTCTATAGGAGAAGCTGAGGGACATGGGATTTTTAGCCTGCAGAAAAGGAGGCTCAGGGGTGACCTCACTGCTCTCTACAACCACCTGAAAGTGGGGATCAGCCTGTTTTCCCAGGCTGCTACTGACAGGAGGAGAGGACATAGCCTCAAGTTGTGCCAAGAATGGACATCAGGATGGATTTCTTCACTGAAAGGATGGTCAGGCATTGGAACACCCAGGGAAGTGGTTACACCACACAGAAAGCTCAGACATAATTGCTTCATTCTTGCATTACATGCTGTTTGAAAATGGAGGAATTGTGCGATTTCTAGAGCCCTAACAGAACTTTCTGCCTCTTTAAAAAAAATCATATGCTTTCATTATCTTCTTTATTATTTATGCAGTACCATCTGTAACCTAAAGGCTATATAAATACAGATTTTGGTAAACAACTGCAAGTTCATGGTAAATGGAAACCATACAAACTTTTAAAATCCCAAGATGACAAGAAAAAAGATGCATATAAAACCTAAACGCAGTACTTCAAACTACTTCAGACAAGTAGCTCCAGGTCACCATAGACCGAGAAGCAACAACTACAGCTGCTGTGGGGGAAGAATAAAAACGTTGTATTTGTGGTATGAGACGCGGAAGGATAAGGGAGAGAGACACACACACACATTCAACACTGAGCCCAAAAGACATATCAGGGGGTGATATGTCAGGAGACCCTGTTCAGTGACATTGCAAATGCTTTGTCATTAGAAATACTGAACAGACCTGGAATTGTTTTTTCTGCCTTGTTGTGCTGCCAGGTATCTTGTAAGAGTTTGGACAGATGGGTTTAATTTCCCTATCTGCAAACACAGACGGTGAGATTTCTTGATACACTACCACTTCAGATCTCCTCTGCTGTTCGTTGCTGCAGTCTTCCATCTCTCATCTTGTGCCGTGACCACAAATGATTCTGTGTTTCCAAACAGAAGTCAATACTACAGGACCTTGACTTGCCAAGAGAGGCTTGACAAAGCTGTGTTAATACATGAACACAAGCAACCAAGAAACAAAAGTTCACAAAGCCTTGTGGAAGCTAGACGGCAGTGTTGGCACATGCTCTAAGGCACGGGCAAGCTGCTGCTCAGGGTTTGCACAGCGGGCTCTAACTGTGGAAACTGTTTATGGGAATTGTGTTTTTGTCATCTGAAGAAAAAATTCTTTATCATCTCTGAAACTTCAGACTCAAAAACAACAACCACAAAAGGGGTGCTCAGGGCACAGGACAATGCAACAGCCAGGAAGGCTCAAGTGAAGTTCCCAAAGCATAAAGAACACACCATTTTCCTTTATAGTAAAAGCCGTTTCCTCCCTTTAATTCAAATTTCCACATGTTAGTAGAGGTCCAGTTGAACAGTGACACACCACTACATGAGCTTATCACTAAGATGGAAGTTACAGTTTTTGAAATGGCTCTTTAAATTCAAATGAAGGAGAGGTGGAGGGCTCTGCCACAAACACTGGAAGAGACAAATGGTTAAAAAGATAAAGACCTTCAAAGACCATATGTTGCCCCAAGCAGCCGTTAATCGATTTTACTGTGGTTCAGTGAGTCTGGCTTGCTTTTAACGGTTCATTTGGCAAGTTGTTGCTGCAGTGATTTCTAATAATAATAATGTCATAATAATCTTTCAACTGGGTACAGATGTGTGGCTATTCAGGATTGCTCTAAAAGTGATTTCTGGACTCGGAGAGATGGAAAAACATAGACAGTAAGTTAATTTAGTTCCTTCCTCTGTGGCACACATCACACTTAAGAACAGAAGGACAACAGTCACTCTAAGGAAGAGGAAAAGGCATTTTCTTCCACTCATTTTGAAATAATTGCAGCAGCTAAGAGCACAACATGACCAGTAGACAAAGACAGCATTTACTTTGTTCACACTACGTGTGTTACTGATTACAGTCATTAAGACAACACATTTTTACTCAACAAACTCTTTTTTGGTAGAGTGGTTTTCACAGTTCTGCATTGCAAATGATATAAATGGTATTTTGAATTTATCCTTGCACTGATTCAAGCAGCAAAGTAATCACTTAAAAATTATGAACATGATGAACTGTAATTAGGGCCATATTTTGTTTTTTATTGTGAACCAAAAACTCAGTGCCAGCATTAAAGCACAAAAGGAAAAGGAATTTAAACCCAAACAAGTGAAATAATTTGCTGGTTATGCAGCTTGATAATCATATCTTTTTTTCATCAGCTGCAGTCATCCTGCTGTCACTCCACATTGCTACAAAGGCTCTCAAACACAGGAAAACACACTCTGTGTTCTCTATTGTCACTTTTCAGATGTAACTGTGGGTAGACAATACATTTTGCAGCAGGTAGAAGTGCTTATTGCAAGAAGGAGGAATTTGTCCCACACTCTCCTTTTCAATTCCTTCCCCTTTTCCTTCCTTTAGAAGAATAAATTCAAAACCCATACAAGTTATTCACCTGACTTGGGGCAAATAAACCCATCAAAATAAATAAGAGCATAAAATTTTAAATATCAAGCTCTGTGTAAACATCTGCACTAGGCTTAAGATCCGTGTTAGACATGAAGCTTCCCATGACTGTGATAGTTGTTCGCAGTGACTTCAAGGTGACTGTTCACATACAAACACATGTGCTGACCGTCCAGGTTCCTGAGGTAACGCAAATGAATTCAGCTTTAGCTACAAACAAGCACCAAACTAAAATCCTTGCAGGGTTGCTATTCATTATTTGGTATTTCTGTATCACTAGGTGGTACCTTTTGAATCATAAATTCACATACCAGAAAGGGACCAATTTGGTTTTTACTTATGCGTCAACATGTGTTATAAGTGAGGTGGAAAATTACTGTGAGGGCTGTACACGTGTTGGGAGCCGAGCAGGGCAGGGAAAGCTTCCACGAGCGGGCTGCGAGTGACCCGACCTGCCGGTGGGGCAGGTGCCCGGGTGCCTGGGCAATCGGGCTCCGGGAGGAGCCGTAACGCACAAAAGCAATTAACTACCACACAGCCCAGGTCACCGTGCTTTAGTTTCTCGGGGGGATGTCGGCTCGGCCCTCCTCGCCCCCGGCCTCTCCCTGCCTGCGGTCCCGCTCCCTGTCCGCGCCGCTCCCCCGCGGCAGCCCGTGCCGCCGCATCCCAGCGCTGCGGAGCTTCCCC